CAAATAAGTAAATAGCAAGCAGTAGGACAGCTGCATCTCGCTCTTGCCATGCCCTCTTTCCTCGTCAGCATGCTCGCCGGCCTCGCGGGCGCGGTCTTCACGTACGTCGTCGATGCAGCGCAAACCCCACTGTCCATAATCAACACCGGCACTGGCATCTCCCTATGCCCAGCCAACGGGCCCGTCTCGTGCAGCAACACCTCATCCGACACCAATAGCTGCTGCTTCGAGTCGCCCGGGGTACGCGACGCGTCTGTGCGAAGCGGAGGATATTGATGCTTTCAGTAGGGCCTCCTTTTGCAGACTCAGGCATAGCATGCTTTATATAGCTGCGCGTGATTTCCTTTGTTCTGACGACGAGTCAGTTTTGGGACAGTAATCTGGCGACGGGGCCGGCCGACAGCTGGACCATCCACGGTGCGTACCTGGGGTCTGCGACAACACGACTCGCGAGTCGCTGATGTGCATTTTCAATAGGATTGTGGCCAGACAAGTAGCCTTTTTTTATGGAATACCTGAGATATCGTGTCCAACAAGTACACAGTTGCGACCTGACCTACTCGGAGAACTGTGACTCCTCGCGGGCGTATAAAAATATCACTGGTGTGCGTCCATTCATGTCCGTCTTCTTAGCCCGTACGAATATCTTTGCGCGCCGTTACAGTTGCTTTCTGGACAAGGTGCCCAGACGACTCTCGAATTCATGCAGACTGTGAGAGAAACATATTTTTGTCCATTTGGGTCCTCCGGGCGTGCTTATGATTCTAACAGTACTGGGTGGACATCAACGGCGAGGACGAGAAGTTCTGGGAGGTACGCGGTTTCTGTGCTTTTTTCAGGCTTGATGTCGTGTTCAACATTGCTTGAAGCATGAGTGGTCGACGCACGGGACCTGCTACAGGTGTGAACCAACTGAAATCTCAGCTATTACTTGCTGCCAGTGGAGCCGACCGTGATTTTATAGCACTCTGAGGTCGTGTCTTCCGGAGGGGAGCCCTGTTGGTGCAGAGGTGCGCGCCGTCCCTAGTACGCCGGATACATTTAGCATTTTAAACGCTTGCGCGCCTTCTTGGCGCCTTCGACAGGCGGTCTCGTTTTTCCAGACTGTCGTCGAACTCTTCCAGGTCCGTCAGATTCCTAAGCTCATACGAGCCGCGGTGACGAACAAGTTGCAAAGACGCTTCCGACGTTCACATGGCTCGCCAAACACGGGATCACGCCATCCGACACCGCGACGCACACGCTCGAAAGCCTACAGAGCGCATTACAAACTGAGGCTGGGGTATGCATGAAATCCGACTGCCAGTGCGACTTGAAGTGGTGCTGATGTGTTATTTCAAGATCTCGCCGGTGCTCGACTGCGCGGGGGAAACACTCGACTCGGTCTCGTGGTACTTCCACTTGCGCGGGTCGCTCCTTGACGGGGCGTTCGTGCCAATCGGTGGGTATTCTAAGCTCTCCGATGTTGGAACCAGGATATCCATGCTGACTCGGTTCGGGTAGAGGCGCCCGAGGTCGGCAACTGCCCGTCCAGCGGGATCAAATACCCGCCCAAGGTTGAAGCAGGCGGAGTCGATGAGGGACCGCACAAGGTGTGTATTAGTAGCGGTTTTGTTTTTGTCCGCTACTGCCAGTGCACCGGCGGGTGTTTGTTGATCAACGCTGTATTTTATTTTGTGCAGGGAACGCCGGTGAGTTTTATGTATGTCTTCCGGGGTATAGTTGCTTAGATTGTGTTTAATACAGTCTCGTCACAGACGACGCAAACAGCATGGTAATCTTGACCAGAGGAGGAATAGCGAAAGAACAGAGTTGTGAGAAATGCCCAACGACGTGCACGTGCCAGTGATAACTTGAAATGAGACTTCCCAGTTTATAATTGAGTTACTGCAAGTATTGCTTGGTGTACATAGTTTACTATAGAACCTTGTGTCAGTTTTCTTCTTGGCTTGAATATTAGTGGATGTGGAACACTCAAGCAGAATGACAGTGTTGCGTTTTTGAGTCTCGTGACCGCGTTTAACTTTACGGCCCGGCTCTTCTTCCACCACCATCACCATGCGATTATCCCCTTGCGCGAAACATCATCTCCAGGCCCTCGGCATTCGCTTTGCTGCGCGAGCGTCCGCCGCCCTGCGTTTCTCGAAAAGCCTGCAGAGCCCAGCGACCTTGCCCGGTTTATCTCAGGTATGTATACGTATGTGGTACAATCCCCAGGTCACGTTCGATTCTAACTCATCGCAGAGTCTACTAGAACAATGGTTATGTCGCGATAGTACGCAGCCTTCTGTAGATAGGGTGGTCGGGCTTCGGAGTCACTGGCGTCGGATATCCTAAACTTGAACGCATCTGCTGTGCGTCAGAGCATTCCGAGTTCCGTAGCGAAATGGAGATTATTGCCCAAACGAACAACCTCGGCAGGTTCAACCTGTTCGTTGGTGGCCCGGTTAGACAGGAAATCGAAAATCGTTGGGCCGTACTTACCTTCTTTAGTGAAACTGTTTGCTTCTGTTTACGCATCAGCAAATCAGCATCTCATCCAAATCTCATCGACAAGAAGTGGTTTCCTTGCTACGTGCTGTGTGGCATGCTCGGACCAGGAAACAAGCAGAAAAAGAAGGGGAAAACGACTCGGACTGCGCGACTGGGAAGCTTTTTTATGGGGCTCCCGCGCGAGATGAGGGGCGAGATTTACCCTCATCTGTTCTGTTCAACGCGACTGGTGTGGGGGGAACGATCTCTTGGCCGCATCAGCCGCCTGCGAATTACCTCTGCACCCAACTCGCTTGCCCTACTACGCTCCTGTCGCCAGATCCACGCCGAAATCGGGACTAGCTGGTTGCAACAGGTTCTATTCGTATTTGAGGACCCAAATACTATGCTCGACAAGCTCACCAATATTCCCCCAACTACGCTCGCTCTCATCCGGCACGCCCGCATTTCGGGCGACCCAGTAATGCTTAGCTGGGAGCACGACGACGATGTATACTACCGCACCTCACAGGCGCTCAGGCTCCTGCCAGGGCTTGCGCTCGATCGCCTCACCGTGCTCGGTCCGCGCGGGCCCGAGATTTCTTACGAAACGCTTGACATGCTCGTGCGTCACGGAGCAGGGTGGAAGGAGCTCTACTACCTCTCGCACAAGTCGACCTTCCTCGGATACAGAGACAACGACAACTGGTTAGGGCTCACTGGCGAACATTCACCTTATTTGCGTGTACCACAACCAGAGGGCTGGCAGCGCGCACTCGAGGCACGCGACGGGGCCACATCCGGTGCATCGGTCACCATTTACCGCGCGAAAGCTCCTCGCCTCCCTGGCGCCGTTCTCGATCCCGCGCGCCGTGCCGTGTTTGCACAGACTCTGCCACCTGGTTGCGATGTGCATACCTACGCGACCTTCGAAGATGCCGAGCTGATGAAGGATGGCGAGCGTGAAAAGGAGATTTTGGTGGTTGTCAAACGTGGGCGCGGTGTGGACTACTCCGATGGCGATATCAAAGAGGCACGCTTGACGTGGAAGCAAATAAAAGGCTGGCTTCCCCGCTGGGATGAGGATATTTTTTATCTAAGCGACGACGAAGACGTGACAGACCCCGGTGTAGAGGAAAAGTACGACAGTGTGGACGAATATGTGTGGCCTCCCCTACACTTCATACACTTCAGCAATGATTGAGGCAAATGATCAAGTGCGTCTTCTCGCCAATAATTTTGCTTAGGCACGTTATAGTTTGTCATTTCGCGAACGGGAAACTGAGATGATGAGTTCTGGGTGAATAGCGATGTATAAAATCAAGCTCTAGTCGTAGTTGTAGTCCCGATAGCACAGGGAGAGATATCGGCCTCAGATAAATGACTCCTCCCACCTCCCGATGCCTCGCCAAGGCATCGCTGCGAGGCACCGAAGGCATCGGTAGGATTTCATCCCACCCATCCCTGATACTTACATTGGAGCAATCGTAAGCTTAAGTAGGTCGCTTTTCGCCATTGCTAGAACGCATCCGATGCGTCGGCAAGGCAGATTTTCAATCGCTCTACTGCAATGTGTTTGCTCCCAAGTAGTAATCCACATATAGAAATCAATTACTTATATTCAAAACATAGTTCTACATTACTATGATACACAGTGATGCCTGTCCAATGAAATCAGAACACGCCTACGGACAAAGAATAGTCTCGGGTACCCAGACCCTCGTACCAGTGACGAACAAGTAGACAAAGAAGGGAGACACCCACCAGACAAACAAAAGCGCAGTTGGCGTCAAGGCTCGTGAGTGGCTCTCGAGTTATGCTACGCAGGCCGAACATTTTTCTGTCAGCACTAGGGGATAACAAGAGTACGAACGTCAGCGCACCTCCATGCAGGGCCCATCAGTTGTAACGACAACGACGACAGCGGCGCCGCCGCTCCCACGTCGCCGTAGGCTCCAACGCTGGTAGAAGCGTCATCCTAAAAGTGAATCAGCAGCATCCTCGAGCTAGTTCATCATATAGATATCATCACAACTGCCTCAGGATCGCACGCTATCGCACGCCGGTATCCTCATTAAGTGGGTAAAGAAATTGCCAAGGGTATCAAATACTATCAATGAAGGACGGATCGCGTTTGCCGAGAAGCACCTCTCCAGTGCATTATGCTGATTCATTTAATTGTGCCCTATGAAAGACTCACCGTCGGTTGTATATGCGTAGTGTTTCCTCAAGATCTGACATACGGCTACTACAACCTGAAAAAGAGGCATGGCGACACAAAGAGGCATCTTAAGTTTCTTAACTGGGCAATACGGATGGACATGTACACAATATATTGTTCCCGGTAAAAGTTGTACTGCTCAGTCTGGCGAAAATTACGGTTACATATGCATGTATATGGAGGGACGCCGGAAATTCTTGAGGCTGCAATTATCATTGTGGGTCAGTTATTGGCATGTTACGCGTAGTGTCTTCGATTTCAACGCAGCCACTCTAAAAAATTGCAGAGGTAACATCCAGTCAAGTAATGCATTAAGGGGGAATCGAACCCCCGGCGGGTCGAATTACGGATTGCGTAATGCTGGCAACGACCCAGGTTACCACTACCCCATTAATGCTGTAGCATTCGACAAAGGAGCGAAGTCTTACAGGGCGTACTACGTCGTTTCCAACCATAGTCATGTGACTGTTGAAAATTAAACAAACTCATCCACTGCAGTGACAGTTTTTCGACTCCGGGAAACATAACCTTGCCACTGCGACATCTATCTAACTCAGCCCTGAGGCCTGAGGCCTGATGCTTGAAGGGTGGGTTTCTGACGCTGCTGGCCTGGTCGCCTGAGCTTCGACCACTTTTATTATGCTCGTAAGTTGGAGTCTGATTTATGGATTAGCGTGAGTTAGTGACAAAAATTTCGGGTAAATCGCTCGAAATTTAGGCGCCCAGTGGCAGAGCCGATTCGAGTAAGACCTGCTGCCGGGAAACGGGTTCCAGGTGACTGTTGTTTTATTGACGGCGCGCGCTATGTAGGCCGTCACAAACTCATCAAAGTAGACAGCACCAAACTCATTCCACCAGGGGATGGACAACGATGCGATGTACTATGTGCCATGTTTCCGGGCACTGCGGCAGCGGTGAACTGCACGTGCACACACAGAGGGCGGACATCAAATTTCCTTATACAGCTTGAGCACCGCCACTAGCCTTCAATTATTATTTTTTCTGCACAGGCATGCATTAGCATGCATTCCATCGCGCTCGCCAAGCTTCCTACCGCCAGGAAAGCTCGAGGCCCAGCGCATGACTTTTTTCTGTCCTACCCGTACTTGCTCACTTGGACTGCCAACCAGGTCGATGTCTGGCGGGTTTCGAACTCATCTGACCTTACGCACATCGCCACGCTCGACGGCTACGTGACCAAGGATTTCGGACCTGCACCGATCATCGACCACGCGCGCGGCCTGCTCATCCTTCCTGAACCAATCCGTGTTGGCCCACCGCGACTCTGCGTCTTCACTCTGCGTGATGGCAAGCTGGCTCGCGACATAGAGCTGTACGGCAGGCTCGCATACGTGGATATCCAGTACCGCCAGGCAGACGGTCATGCGCTCGTGCTGCTTGTCGCGGCCGCTTCGCCATATGAGAGGACGATCGTAGAAGTGGATGTCACTGGAGTCAGCTCCAACATACTCAGTGCGGTCAGCCTGCCCTCTGAGTACGAAGGCGCCCCGACCCCCCTTCTGGAGCCAATATCCTTCGGTAAGAGCGGCGGTATCATCTCAGCGTCGACCACACAATGGCTGGGCAAGGTTGATCTCCAATACTGGCAAGCCGGGCCAAGTACGGGTGACCGACAGCGCACCAAGACGCTCGAGCTTCTGCCAGGTTTGGAGAGCTGCACGTCCATGCAGCCTCGTCGCCGTCTGGCAATCAACGACAGCACTGTCGTTCTATGCACGCACGAAAGTGCGGGTCCGGCCATCACCGAGCAAACCTCCGTCCGTAGTCTCGACACTGCCAGTCTCGCCGTGCGGTGGACCGCGAAACCCATCCCCGGAGAAGTCATGACACTGCACCACGTCCCGTCTCGCAACGCCGTTGTCCTCTCCGCCGCACACGACGTCACCAACCACGACGACGAGCGCCGCGAGTCGCTGCAGATACGCACGGTCGTTGTCGTGCTCGACGCGCGCACGGGCGACTGGCGGGCCATGCACGCCGTCGACTGCGATGCGCAGGGCGGCTACGTCGTAGACTGCCTCGTGTCGCCCGACGGGGACAATCCCACCCTGGGCCTGGCATGGGATAACGGCGACATCCTCACCGTCGACCTGGACAAGTTCATCGCAGACGGCTTCGAGCGAGAGGGCGGGGGCGAGAGGGCGCGGACGCTTGCGCTGTTCCCTGCGGAGCTCATTGCTGCTTCGATAGGACGCAAGGAGATCATTGCCGTAGCAGGGGTGAAGAAGCACCCCGTCATTTCGGAGGGAGGTAATGAGGATGACATTCCTGATTGGCCGGAGGAAGAAGGCAGGGTCATGTTTGCCAAGTGGTGAATGCAGGCCGTGCAACATTGTGTACACATTTATTTAAGTTTTATTTATCTTGAGAAGTCGTGTAGTCTCTCTGTACAGCTAGAGTCGGGAACGACGGAATTAAGTGAAGTAAACAACTTATGCCTCAAGGATCTGTCGGGGGACGGAGTGGTTTGGGGCTGTATAGGGTTTTCTAGACGCAGAACCGACTCCCAGTCAAGAAACAGAAGACATCTGCGCTCCCCGTGTGAATAAGCAAAGTCGCGTTTTGTCCAGCTGGTGAGCTATTACACCTTTTCGCCAACCCGACTCCAGCGTTGTAGCGTGCGCCAATCGCACCAGTTTCCAAATACTCGCCAGAAGAGTATTATGCCATTCCGCGTAGAATACAAAGATGTACAAAAATCGTCATCGCTCAAAACTATTTCCCCGTCAGTCCAAACAGTCCTCACGCAACACTGAGGGGTACTCACCCTGATCTGGTAGCTCCCACTCGCCTTGGTGAGGTACCGCACCCACTTGATGCTGCTGTAGTTGCTCTTCTCGAACACCTTGAGGAAGCGCACGATGAGTCCCGAGGCGGTGAACATGAGCACCTGGAAGTCGACGTCGATCGGCGGGCGCGCCCACACCTGCCGGTGCGTCGTGCTCGTCAGGTCCGCCGCCGCGCTCAGCGTGCACTCCTGTCCGCCCTGCAACCTGGGGAGTCTGCGCATGCATGAGATGAAAGCACATGGTCAGCGAAAGGGCATGGCAAAGTGAGCGGAACGATGACGCACTTCCACACGACGACGTTCTCGCCCGGGACATACTTGGCCTTCCCGTTGGCGACCTGGCAGTCGACAGCGGTGGTGTTCAATGGCGTCGGTATCCGGAGCACGACGTTCGTCGCCGCGAGTTTGTTGTTGAAGTTGGCTTTGACCGTCACTGTGTATGAGACCTGTGTCGTCCCAATCTCCGTGACGGTAGGGATCACCCGCAATGGCAGCTTCACGTTCGAGGTGGAACGGTATCTAAAGCGCGTGGTAAGGGAGGTAGGTCAAGTAGCACAAGGTGGTGCGCACTTCATGAGCTCAAACTCTCCGTCCGGCGGTATGAAGCTGATGGTGCGCGTGGCGTCAAAGTCGTTTAGCCGTACGCACTGGTGGAAGCGACAGTCGTCCAGCTCTACTGCGTCGCTGCCGCCCTGCTGGCTCTTGTCGATAACCAGCTTGTCGTTCAGTCCAAACTTGCACTCCGGCGTGCCTGACAGGTAGGCGCGCATCTGGATGTGCCCATCGACGTCCGCTCGGAGCACCGTGCCTTGGAGCACGGTGAGTGTGGGAGGAGGCACAGAGCAAAGGATGGCGCACCTTTCGCACTCATGCTCAGGTTGACCGTCTCCACGACATCCACGAACGCCTCGTTCTTCTTGTACTTGACATCGGGTCTCCTCCAGCTCGTTGCTCCCGTGGCCTGTGCCGTGATCTTCGACGACTCTTCCTATGGGAATGCGTCAGAAGTGAAGATTGCAAGCTGACATGGACGTACAGCCGCGAACGCGGTCGAGACAATACTCTCTGTCGTAATATACGATTTCAGGGTATCAATTTCACTATTTTGTGGGTATCCAAAATCATTGATTTCTGCACGCCAGTCAGTGGCCTGGTATACAGAGGAGTAGATAAAGGCACACACCGTCTATGAGTTCATAAATTAGCACGAAGTTGTTCTTTACTGATTCTTCGTCTATTTTGCCGAAATACGACTTGCAGATATTGATAAAGCGGTAGCAGAACTCGAAGACGAGAGCCGCATTGGCGTTGTTCCTGTTGGGTACTTAGTGCATCCAAGTATTGCAAAAGCAAGGTACGCACTTTGTCACAGCTACAACATACAGACTGTTTATACGAACGTGGAAGAAACTGGTCGACCCTAGAGTGATGATAGGTGACCGGACGTCGCTGTTGGACACGACCTGTATGCGAAAGACGTCCGCTATCGAGCGTCTGCGTAGACAATCTCAGTATGCGTTGCAGACATTTTGGCCGACGCATACTTGAAGTCGGTCCGGTATAACCTTGAAATAAGGACCTGGATCGTAATGGTGAGCTTGTAACGCGAATATATGTCTTGTAACGCTCACTTCGCCTTTTTGGTTAAAGATGAAGAATGCCTATGTCGCGCAATGCATGAACTACTTGGTCTTGCGAATGGACGGGTGAGCGCCTACCGAGATCATAAGCCACGCGCTGCCAGTGAAGCTGCAGTCTCGAGGAGTATCGAAGTCTGAATGGTCTTGGCGTCGCCAGACACCCGCGTGTCGTGAGATACAGTCGAATAAACTATTATTGCAGGCGCTGGGTGACCTTGGTCACAGTCAGTCACACAACAATCTCTCACTGCACAAGCGAAGTCCTCCGGGCTCCCGGCCTGACCTCTTCAGCGTCGAAGCTTGAAGTTTCACACTCCAAATCATGACATTCGACACCATTGAATACCGCCACCTTCGGTCCATGAAGCATCGACATCAGTGTTGTGAATTGCATACCGATCTCATACCCACCGTATCGGTGTGTTCCGTCGTCCATGTCTTATGATGAGTCACAATACCCTGAGCGCTGAATTCAGCACGTGCTTGCGAAAAGCCGCCCACAAGAGGTCCCGCCTACAACTGCCACTTAGGAAGGGACCCCCGCAAACGCAAGTATCATGACTGTCAACATCTCCTCCTTCACGGCTTGGATCACAATTGAAGAGTCCAACTGCCCTGTCTACGCTCGAAGAATGGGCGAGAAGCCACCTGCTGGATTCCCTCTCAAAACGAAAAGGTGTGAATTACCAGCCTCAAACCCCCCCGATCTGCTCACTCTCGATATAGAAGTTTTCAGTGAACTGGAGCAATTCATTCCGCGACCGGCCGGTATTCGCGCAGCTGTTCATAGATGGCGTCGTGTGCAGTACGCACTTCATGCTCGATTGCGTCAACCACCCGAGCGACCCATCCTCGATCGGGATCTCGTACGCGACGACGTCCGACTACACCCGCCGCGACTTTGTGTTCTCGACCATTGTCGTTACGGGCAAGTCGCACGCTAGAGGG